AGCAGACCGCTGCGTCCTGTGTATTTATGCAGCACTGCCGGGCCACAAAAGATGCATGAAGGAATAAAAAGATTTTTATGGTGAAACGTGGTTGGAAAACTGTCTTTGTGTCTGATCTATGAGCCCTCCACAAAAATATCCCATATTCTGCCAACCTGTTGCCACTGCACTGAATCTTCAGCTGAAGACAAATTAGCATTTAAATGAGGCAAGTTATTTTCCTTTTTACGCCCGCTCTAAATTACCAACGCAGTGGCTTTGACTGAGATGAGACGAGGGAGACCGGAGGCTTTTTTAGTGTTATTGACCCGGAAAAGGTTGAGTGAACACGCTCGCTCTTTCTTCAGCAACACCCCTGCATCAAACTCACAAAGTTGAGCCGAGAGCTGCGGCTCAGTCGACTACAACCACAAAACAACAATGTTTGGCACCAAACAGCTTGACTGATGCAAGCTGTCCTGCCTAAAGGACCACTCCAGTGATTTTCAACCTTATCTCTACAGTGTGTGTCACAAAAGTACCTGAATGCACCTGTGCACCTGGCGGCACACTCTGTATCTTGTCAGAAGACTCTGTTCACTTCCCCTGAATCCTGTACAGAATGATGCAGGCTTTGGCTAATAAGCAGAGAGAAAGCATTGTCACCTCCATGTTTAACACTTAATGATCTTTACACTTTGGGGGCAAAGTGTTTCAGATGAGATTCAGCCCATATTTAAAATGAGGCTGGGATTTAATTGAGGGGATTCACAGCTTTTGTGGGTAAGCATCAAGTATTTAATGCCTAAAGGGCAAAATACGTTTTAAAATTGATCAGCGGTGCAGCCATTAAGAGGCTTCAGAACAAGAGACCGCAATTTCCTGTCTGAACCCGTCAAAGCCTGAGAGAAAACAAATCCGAACTGACACATGACACAAATCAAGTAAATAACCCTCCCAACAGAACAGAACAGAACTAGAATATCATTTAAATTTTGTCCAAAACCAGCACAGCCCATCAGGTATCCACTCTATATCCAGAACAAACTGATCTTCATATCATCACTGTCGAACTCCGAGCAGACTGAAAAAAAACATCACAACATAAATATCTCAGGATGAAAAACACGTAGGAGACGCCGACATCTCGAGATTCGAGAGCTCTTGGTGATAAGGTTTAGTTTCTTTCTTTGTGTTTGAATTACCTGGGATCATGGGGCAGGTCACTTCCTGGTTCAGTCAAAAGCAGCATGGTTGAAGACCCTTATAGGCCGAGGTCAGCTGTTTGGGCTGAACCATGTGCTTCCATATCATGGGGGGGTTGAGTTTATATGCTCCATCTCATTATGTCTGTTTGTTCACTTAACGCCTCATTCGATGAGTTGTTATATTGATTATATAGTGATATAGTGTTGACCTCTTTGATGGGCCTGGTTGTTAAATGATTGGTTTATATTACACTTTGTATTACTCGTGTTTCCTCTTTGCTTTGTCCATGTTTCAGGACGTTACCAAGTCTCTTCATCTGGATGAAATAACTGAATCTCATCTGTATTTCTGATGATTGATCTCTGGAACGATCGGTAAAAACCGAGGAGACAATTTATTCAAATGAAATGAGCGAATCGGCGAGGCTTCCCCAGCTGGAGAGCAAAAGGTCTGCAGTGTATCCCAGGACTGGAAACGTGTGCACAGCGTTACACGTTCTCTGTATCTGGGAGGTCATTTGGAAATAGACTGCTGAGTAGCCTTCTCCCTGCCCCTGAGTGGAAGGCTGTCTCCTCCTCTCTCTTTCCATCTCTCTGCTCCGAGCCCCTGACTGTGAAACTCCATAAAGAGTGATGGATGTTGATGGAGACACATGGAGTGGTGATTATGGATCATCACAGAGTATCGAGGAAGGACAGAGACTGACAGACAGAAGCTGAGGAAGAGAGAGAGAGAGAGAGAGACGGGTGCGGGCTCCGAATGGTAAATGACAGAAGTCATGCCAACGGATTCTTGAAGATGGAGCTGTTGCGCCACTGAGAGGTGAAAAGTTTCACTACTGCGACCAAGGTTATAACAAGAAATCCATGATAATGTTCAGGCTAAACTGAAAACACTGTAGAAACATAAGGTCTGATTCTGAGATGAAAACATTGCTGCACTGTAAATTGACTTTATACACACACTCAAAATAAAATCTGTAAATTAATACATTTTAATAAAGCTCTGCAAATTATCACTGTAAAACATGCAATTGTTTTTCAGCTAAATTTAAAAAAGGGATGATATAATGCTTACTTGAATTACTTTATATTAGTGTTGGAGTAAAGTGATTACATGTTTTGTCCTAGTATCCATCTGTAAAGTAATGGATGTAATGGATTTCAAAGTACTATATTTCTCTGTGAAATGTATATTTGTAGTATAATATTACAGAAAATTGAAATACGTTGGTGCAGCATTTGATTAAATGTACTTCCACCACTGCATTAACTGAAATGGATAAAACAGAGCATTAAAGCAGAACGTGACACTAACAAATGACCTTTCATGAATAAAAGTGAGAAGAGAAGTTGTAGAAAATTCCCCCGGCCGGGTGCTTCGGAGGTCTGATGCCCAGGAAGCAGAAAGTCCGGTCACCTTTTCTCTCAAACTGGGGCTGAGGAACAGTTAAATGAAGCTGCCTGGGGAGCTGTGCCCACTTTCTGAAACACAGGGGAGCAGAAACTCTGCAATCTAGCTAATGTATGAGAGTCTGGTTTCCTGAGGGAAGAGAACGAGCACATCACTGGTGCAGGATATAGGCTGAAGCCCTTAAATCACTTCTGACAAGTAAATGGACGTGGAACGCATCAGGGGAAAGTTCTGCCCTTCTCTTGGTCATATATTTAAAACCGTGCCAGTTTTTTTCTTTACATTTCTCTCCTCTGTGCTGGTCTGGACGTACTGTTCCGCCCAAAGGTTCAGAAACACACTCACTATTTCATTACTTTGGGAAGCTTGATTGTAATGCAGACCTCTTTTTCCTCCGGCAGCCTTTTTTATTATACTTTCAATCTTTCTAATAACGGATTAAATAATAAACTCACAATACTAGACAGAATAATAAATGAGAACATGAATGATCCCCTCGATAAAGGAGCAGAAATACTTGTAAAAGAACAAATACGAAGAAGAAATCCAGAAGTTAAAGAATATTGACAAAGGGCCTCAAGCGGTTTGTAATTGGTCACAAACATAGACTGTTTTTAAAGATGTCTCCTCCCCTGCTGAGTAAAGATGAAGCCAAAACATCCTGGATAAGGGTGCAGCCATCTTGTGCATTTCACGCCATTTGGATTCATAGCATCAGATAACACTTGAACATACATTCAATTTTTCAATTTTATTTATATAGCGCCAATTCATAATTTACATTATCTCAAGGCACATCTATGCGATATGTGTGCTGCATTTTTGGGTGCACGTCCTGACAAGCCTATCTGGTGGAGAGAATTAATAATGACAAATACAAATTTACCAAATTGGAATGTATTGGAATAAAAAGTGTGATCATCACCTCTAAATTACACATAAGTCTCATACTTCAGGAAACGATCTGAGCTCCTTTCTATCAAGTACATGCAGCAGGTCATTCACACTTCTATTTAAATATATTCAAATGTTTTAAAGCAAACATAAACAGACTGATTCATGTCGATGTCCTCTGACTTTCAGCTGCCAATCGACACACGACACTGTCCTTCATGTTCCTGCTGATGAGGCCTGTCGTCAAATCTATGCACACAGTCAATTGTGCAGAGGAAGTGGTGTCAGCTTCAGTGACACGGCAGAGACAGTTGGGGTCACGGCTGGTACAGGAAGTGGTAATAATATCCTGCGGCATATTTATGGAGGGACGTTCAGCTGGGAAATTTGCCCACAGAGCACTTCCAGAATGATGGTCGCTCAATTCACTGCTGTATGTTCCACGTGCACGGTCCTGATGGCAGAGTCACCGGGGGTCGCAGACAAACCGCTCGGACAAATTGCAGGGCCGCGTTGGAGCAGGTGGACGCTTCGCTCTGTCCGTGTGCCGACTGCGGCGGGTCAAGGAGCAAGACAGTGATACATCTAAGATAAGAAAACACAGGGAGCTGCAAGGACTCCATCAAGAGGGAGGTCAGAGGCCTGAGCTCGCACAGGGGCCGCTGACCTCCAGCTGAGCAATGAGACAAGATTAAAGTGGGCTGGATGTCATTTAGGGACAAAAAGTAGCCGGTGAAATGTCCCCGTGACTCTTCTGGAAAACACAGGTGAAGGGCTGTTTCTAAAGTAGAGCAAAGAAATCACTTTGATAATATAGATGTGCTGCCCTGATGTTATGTGGGGAAAAACTTAGATATTAAACCATTTCACCCGAAGTTGTATCCTGCTTCTGTTTTCACACACAACCTCTGCAAACCTCTGCAGAGAAATTTATAACAAGTAATCTTAATGGATGTAAATTCAGGAAAACATTCCTATTATTTTTATGAAAGTTTCTGTATACAAAGACAATAGGCTTCATAATAAACAGGCCCTGGATCTGTTACCATTCTTTTGACTGGGGCAGATGAGTGAGAGGCTGAGAGGACTTGCTATTTGTCCTCAATTAAGACAAAGGTCAAACTCTCAACGCAAAACAAAACAACCACCGAGGCAAGAATCGTATGCAGGAAACTAACTATTGTATTACAAATAAAGTGGTGGCAATAAATTGACCAAAACTAGTGTCTGTAAAGTGAACCAACCCTTTACCCACATCTACATCATGTCAACAATTATGATATTGTTTCATTAGTGGTGATGCAGCTCTACTGGGTGTCCCTCTAGTGTTTTCCATTGTCTCTGTTCTCCCCAGTCAAAGCCCCACAACCACAAAAAAATCACTTCAGGGACTTAACGTGCCCGTTAAAAACAAAAACATGTCAAATTTAAATTTCTTCAAAGCAACAAAGTGATGCTTTGTCTTCACCACACAATCACAGAACATTAAGAGTCAGACAAGTCAGTTTTCAGTTTTTGTACTTTTATTGTGTTTTGTTACAAAAACTGTTTAGTCAAAGAGACCGAAGCCCATGTCGTCATCGGACTCCTCGGACTCTTCCTTCTTCTCCTCTTTCTTCTCCTCTTCCTTAGCTGCAGGGGCAAAGAAGATGATTTATGTTTAAAACCATTCAATATTTAGCTTACACATGCTAACTGAAAACTTAACTAGATTACAAATCCTATTGTCTCGTTACCTGGGGCTTCTCCAGCAGCGGCAGGAGCTCCAGCAGCTGGGGCTCCGGCGGGGGCGGCACCTCCGGCTCCAACGTTGCAGATCAGGCTGCCGATGTCAATGCTGGACAGAGCCTGAGACATGGAAACAATCACAGGTCAGTGTCATGTTATATCTCCTGTCAATGGTCTTGTGAGTGATGCAGAAGGAGCATGACAGTAGATAAAAGACACAGCAGAATATTTTCTATCATTTCATACATAATACTTATGTTTCATTTTTATCTCCTTAACTGTGGATGTAAAACTACACCTTGTGTTCACTCCTCTCTTGACTTAAAGTGGTGACTCACATAACAGGTTGTAAATGTAGCCTAATACAGGGAAATTCAGTCAGAACAGAGGTTTGTGTTTTGTCCTTCCCTCCTGCAATAATACATTAAGCATTGACAGACTCTTTGGGACGTAATCACATCACTTCTGTCCTGTGGACAGGTGTCTCGTTTCTGCTGTGTACCACAGCTGTCTAATTTCTCTGAAACCCCCCCAGGTTTAAACTATCATCAGGTGTAATCAACCTGTTCATGTCATGATACAGCAGCACTTCACATGAGTGTTGGGTCCATCCCTCACCTTGGCAAAGAGACTTGGCCAGAAGGGCTCCACAGTGACTCCTGCAGCCTTGATCAGAGCGTTGAGCTTGTCCTCCTGCAGACACAAGACAAGTGGTCACAACAAAAATCATTTCAATTCATACATTTACAGTTACTACTTCTAATATAAATAAAAAGCATTCAATACATCACAAGCTGGTGGTGAGCCAAGTCTTATAGTCCAGCTTCATGTTTATCTCCCTATTGATGGTGACTATGAATTGACTTTGACGTGTCACAGAAAACTGCCGCAACTACTGATCACATTCATCGTGGATCAGTTAGTTCGTGTTCGTGTCTATGAAACCTGACAGCTCGACATCAGATGAAGACATAATGATCTTCTGTCATCAATTAAAAACTACTGGCAGAAAATACTTAGAGAAAGTAAATACTATCTGAAACTTGTAATGCTTCCAACTCACTCTGTGTAGGTTGACCTCATTTCCTCTGTTGTAAAACAAGTATTCAGGGTTTAGGAACACACTATGACACTGACATGTCGCTGTCTGACAGAATGAAGAGCTGATGCTGCCTCAGTCGTGATCACACACGTGGACTGGATGCTCATGTGTAATATATGCAGCGGCAGCTCTGTGGGAAGTGGAGCAGCGCCCACGTGTATCAACATCACAACTCAAACATGGATGAACCAGTTGATCTGAAGTAATTAAGTTCTCTAACAACTATTAAAACCGTGAAGTCAGCACAGATACACTCCTGATGATAAAAGCTCAGTGTTCTGATGGAGGATTAGCATTAGCATTTCCTAGCACCTGCCATGATTGACGGAATATAAACAGCTTTAACTATTAGTTTAGTTTAACACGAGCTGAGAAAGAGCGAGTTAACGATTTACAATGAAACAGACACGAGCTCCTGACACACAGACGTAGCCTGACGTTAGCATCTAGCATGCCGCCATTTTGGCCGGAACTGACAGTTTACGGACACCGGTTCACTTCAAGTCACATTTTAACAGTTTTACTAAAAAAACCAGAATTGTTACGGTCTCACTTCTGACTTAAGAAGCGTTCACCACCAGCACGGGGCCCGCGGGGCCGAACACAGACACGTAGCCGGGGCTGTGCGGGAGGAACCGGGGGACACTTACGGTGACGGTGACTTCATCGTCGTGGAGGATGAGCGCGGAGTAAATGCAGGCGAGCTCGGACACGGAGGCCATTTTAGATGTTGGGTTTGGCGTGTGCGGGGTCGGATGCCTAAATTTAGCGGTGCTAGTCGCCGGATTGTGGGCCTTAGCTTCAGATGAAGAACCGAGCACCTTCAGGCACGTTGACTTCCTGCAGCGGAAAGGGAGGAGCAGAGGGCGGGAGCTGCGTTTATATACTCTGCGTCAGGGCTGCGTGGCTCTGACGTCAGCACGCACACAGTGATCGACGTGGTCTATAGAATGTTTAATATAGATTAAGATTAAGGATTAAGATTCCTAATATAGTTTTCTTTTTAAAGAATCTTTAATCTGATGTTATTTCTAAGTTCCACATACACACACATGTAAGTGCACAAAACTTTTCTCTTTTCTTCTTTGTTGTTTTCATTCATTTTCTCATAATTGATCATTTATTCAGTTTATTTGTTAATTTATATGTTAGAATTTATCTTATGGATGTTGACTTTGTGTGATGACTGTCGATAATACAGTTTGTGAAAAAAAAGAATGAGTAAACAATCTTGCAAGTTTA